ATCCCCATCCAAGCATTAATGAAAACAAAACACGTAGATCAACGAAGAGTCTCTTTTCGGCGAATTCATTTTCTTAGCTGCACAATCGCAAATATATATGCATTGTTTTGTATGTATGTGTACATTAAGTTTGTCAAATAAAGTTACAATTGGTTAAGGTTACTTTTAACTAAACAGGTGAAGATTGGTTGTTAGAGTTATGCAACACGAAATCAGTCAAGAAAATTATGTGTTAATGAAATTAGGGTAGTAACAAAGGTGATGAGTTGTCACAAACAGTTGTTAAAAAAGAAGTTATGTAATAATACGAATAGTTTGATGTTTGAGTTTTACTGAGGATGCACATAGAAACAACGTAGATAATACGAAATCACGTAAGAGTTTTAAATGAAAACAAGAAATCTAAGCAATTAAAGAACAGGCAAACAAACAAAATTAAGTCATCAAAATCAAGAAAAAAACTCAAATCAAATCAAAACAAAAAAGTTGTTACCATGACAGTAGAAGTGGTTGAGTGATCTTCTTTTGTATGCACAGCTCCGGTTTTTCTATGTGAATGACCAGAGCTTCAACGATACAAAGGAGACGAAACCGTATTGCATTTGATAGATTATTTTCGGCTCTGTAGATTACTTTGAAGCAGGAGGCGTTTGTTGAAATGGAATGATTAGTGTTAACCAGGTGTTCAATTATCGCACTCCTTATTACACCACTATTGCCTTTTCGCAATCATGCTGGCTGGATAGTGTTCTTGAATCCTCTTGGACAGTGGGTTCGCGTTGAATGACCAATGCACTTGGCTCCACAGCAGCAGGTGAACTGATATATGCACATAGAAATGGTCAGATGCGGGATCCTGTCACTGAGGTATGAAACGTTGACAGTCTTGACACCCAATAGAATAAACTAGCTGCAGGCTGGAATTCAGTCTGCAGCATGCTGAAGACTAGACACACAAAAATTTAGTTACTACCTAGTGCCCAGTCAAAGTGTCCAATACAGTCCAGCCGGTGGTCAATCGTAGGTACGAATAGTTCATTGCTAACATCTCTGACTGTATCTCTCAGTGACACGGGTTCTAATCCCAGGAGGAACATAATTCCCATCCCCCCGCGCCAAGACTGCACATATGTCTCACTGACCCGTAAGTGAGAACAAAGACCAAAATTTAGGTTGAAGGCTACCTTGTGATTCTATTCAACCGCCTAACAACGACAACATTTCAGAATGCACTGTGATTACCAGCTACCCAGCATACTGGCTATATTGCAAACTTGACTGCCCGATAGAATTCAGTCTGCATCAAACAAAGGACGGTAACTCTAAATTATATCAGCTCAAACCGGAACTACTTAGCGAACGGACATATGACCTTGACAACGACAACTTTGACCAATCAGGAGGCTGTATAAAAACGGCGCATAATTTAAATATATCGTTTATATAGAAGTGATGCAATGTTAAAAATAGTTACAAAGGATAACGTTCTCGTATATGTTCCAAAAAACCTCCCAATATCTCATAGGACATAAGACATCTGCACTGCGATTAGGGATCGCCTCGGCGTATCTTTTGTGGAGAGTGGTGTCATATATATGCCCAATACTCACTGCTGATTCGCACTCAATCTCCCTCGATTATATTTTCTTTTTATCAAAAGTACCTAAGGAATCTGTAAACTAAAAAAGAACGACATACCTTCTCGAACTGATTTTCTGGTTCGACACTCATTTCACCAATAAACAAACCTATCGATGCACTTAGTGTATCTTTTCATATGAATGACACCTACACATTGGCAATTTGTCGGCCCTCCTATCAGTCCGTTCTCCAAACAGTAATCAAAAACAAAATCTGGAGCGAATTAGCAACGCAAAAGGTGTACAACACCCATAAGTACGTCTGGATAATACGGAATCACCTGATTGCTTGTTCAAGGTCATTTATCCGTTCGCTAGCTAGTTTCGGTTTGGGCTGATGTAGTTTAGAGTTACTCAAAGGACTAAACACATCACGCTAGTTACCACTTGATCTCCAGCCAAAGAACCCACGTTTACTAAACCTGGATGACTGATTTTAAGAACTACGATGACTGATATTCAAAGTCACATAGTATTATTTATGCATTTCATGATGTTTTTCTCTTCTGTGTCAACCAGAAGTCCAGCGTCAGATTATCTCTTTGAAGCAAATAACAAACGGTAAGTCATTTCTTTTGCTACTGACACTTAAGCGTGCAACTGATCAGTAGCTTTTATGTTTCCTGGAAAGGTAAAGCAGTGGAAGAGATATTGATATAAAAAACAACGATGTGCGTATCTGAGGAACTGAGGATGGTGCCTGCAGAAACTCTCCTTCAGTCTATATTTACGTTACAGGATTTCATCATGAGCTGATACCGGTTAGATTACCATTGGAAAACCACCACGGAGTACTAGACAGCTGTCTCGTCCCAGTTTGGGACTCTCCAGCAGTACGCACCGGCCGGGGTTCGAACCTAGGGCCTTCTGGTTACGAGACTGTCCCTATTAAATTAGGTAGTTACCTAGGGTTCTAGTGGGAAGTCGTGACCAGTAGAGTACAGCAGGTTGGGACAAATACCCCCCAAAGACATTGGCTAGTGGTGGTGCTATGTCGTGAATTCGCAGAAGTTAGAATTCATGTACTGGCCATTGGATCGGGTCCCAGTGGCTTAATTGTCCTACGGGCTCGCCTTGTAACCAGAAGGTCGTGGGTTCGAACCCTGTCGGTTGGTGCGTACTGCTGAAGAGTCTCAAACTAAGCTGACGAAACATCTGTCCAGTACTCCCATCTGGTCTTCCAATGGTTTTCTAACCGATTTCAGCTCGTGCTCAATCCTGAAACACCTGCAATTTAGTCTGACTACAGGACGAAGTTGTTTGAAATCCCAGTGAAAAGCGTTGACTACAAGCCGCGCCTACCAACTTGTGGAATGAGAAGATATACTGAACAATGAATTTGACTGGATACTACGTTGTATATCATGAATTGGTAGAAGTTATAATTCATCAGCCATTTTATTTCAAAAGCTAAATGGATAGTTGTCAAATAGCTGAACTTGTTACCTTGTATGATAAGTTTCTTTGGATTGTATATTAATGATCGTCCACAAGCGGACTGTGTGTGACTACACTTCAATATTCAAGTATTGGTTTGTAGGGATTTGATTGACTGATTGTTTACAAGATTTCATCATGAGCTGAATCGGTTAGGGAAACGCTGGGAAAACTGGGCAGCCGTTTTGTCCCAGTTTTGAACTCTTCATTAGAGTTTCAATAGACAACCTTAAACAGAAGTGAACCACTTCAAACTGTCATATTTCACATGCAGCACACAAAAGTAGATAAAAGAGAGAGAGAAAAGAGATTTAAAAGAGTAATGATGAGCAGAAAGGCTCTGGGACTAACTAAGACGAAGTCAATTATTGGATAGTGAATAACAGTGGAATCCAGGGTGCTCATTTTTTCCCTTTATGGGACTCGTCAGCCAGCTGGATGTACCCACATTTCCCAGTGAGTGATTGACCGTGTTCCCACCAAGGCTCGAACCCAGTGCCCGTAGTTTCAAACTCGAAAGCGTTATCCACTAGGCCACTTTGGCCACGAGAGCCACCACCTCTCGTGAAACGGGTCTTATTATTTACTTATTTCAATTTAGACTTTCCCATCGGTTATTTGGACCGAAGTGCTCGGTCTCAAGTTGATATGTGGGCTACTTGTGCAGATGCTTCGAGGATGTGTATGGTTAGTTCGACTTGAAGTAAATCAATGGATGGTGACTTACAGTGGAGTCCAGGATGCACATTTTGGGTCACTGGGTTCCAGCCTCGTTGGGAACACCATCGACCATCCACTTGAGAATGCAGGTACATTCAGTTGGTGAGTCCCAAATAGGGCAAAATGTGCATCATGGATTCTACTGCCAGTCACTATTCACCAATTGACTTCAGGTTACATGTTAAGACATCTTCGAAGCATCTGTACAAAGAGCCTACATGTCAACCTCAGACTGACCACTTCGTTCGAATCACTCGAAGGGAAAATCTCTACAAAATTAAACAATAACTTAGAAGGTTTTTGATGGTTATGGGATATCACTAAGGGTGGATGCATCCGCGTCATTTCGACCGATTTTGAGACATAAAACCATTAGTCTTTATCCATTAATTCTTAGAACCAGAAGGATATCAACCAGACAGGTAGTCTACACCTCCCTACATGGCTGGCTGACTGACTGGCTGGATCAATCCAGTTGTCAACGTCTCTATACATTGATGCCAGTCTTTGATTTGATCCACCCCTAACTATTTATCCAACCTAATCCCATATCAGCTAATATTACTCGTCGAGAAAGGCGGTGGTTTGATATGCATAACACGTGTTCTAGCCACCTAAGCTGATGACACTCCTTACAACCTCGTTATCCGACACTGTATGCCTAACCTCAACATTGCCACCAACATTTCTTACCACTTGACATGTGAGAGTGAACGCAACACTTGAAGTCAAAGACAGCTAGACATTTCACATACCTACCAATCTCAATCACCATGTCTCACATCTCATTAATGAAGTTGGAGCGAAAAACCACTGTGCAGTACACAAGTACTTTGTACACGTCTTAGTCAAACAGGATGTAAGTTCGCAAATCTCAAACGAGCCTTTTGTATTCATGCTGAGATTTCACCAACTTCATAAATAAATGAGAAATGGCCAACACGCTATGAAACTTCGTTCCTGTCTATCTGTAAACCACGATTTGGTGTCATCCCCCGGCATCCACACAAAACCTAAGTCCGTTAGGATCTTCTACCGATTGACGCTGTCCAACATGCAAATTATACCATCGTAAAAAAGTCAGTTATGCCTTGTATGCTCAGTTTTTTGAAAAAAAAAATGCAATTGAAAAAAAGAAACTATAATAGAAAGTAAATTGAATATTGAACAGAAGATGGCGGTAAAATTCATCTGTCAGATAAACTAATTTTCTAATCCAGACGACGGTACACAGTGTATACAGCACTGAGTTGAAGTATAATCTGATGTCGTTGAATAGAGCTTACGCTCTTGTAAATCGTGATACTGTTGAACAATTGCCACAGCCAATTCCCATGCAAAATGATCTGTCAATATCTCAATAATCAAATTAGCATTTTCTAATAATTTATTGATTTGACTATTTCTCATTCGCGTTAATCCACCAGGATTTATACCTGTTGCATGTGGTGACAATAGTTGACAGATTGCACCTGAGCGTTGTGGTACATTTTTACGACGACAGTGCAAATAAACACCAGGTTTACTTTTCGGTTGACGTCGAGTTGTGATAACCTTCTTAAGGCTATTATTATAAGGCTTCTTTTTGCACCGAATAGGTTTGATACGTTTACAAGACAGGGAACTAGAGGTTGTGCTAGTATCCGGGTAATCATCTTTCTCGTCTAGGAGTGTATTATCTCTTGTCTGCGCGCTTTGTTTCCTACTATCCTTAAATGATTTCTGAACATCAATAGGATTTTTCTTTATATGCTTTTCGCTCACTTTGTCACGACGCCTTTATCTGTTTTACACCGGATTTCTTTGTATGTGTAGTGATCGATGGTTATATTCGGTGTTTCGTCAAGCTTTGTCAGACACTTATTAACCACATCAGCAGGAGTCTGCGCTTTAATGTTTTCAGATAACTCATTGACTACTGGAGATTTTAAATTGTCTACAGTATTTCTCGGAGTGTGATACAATGGAGTGGGAATCTGATTATTTGGTGCAACTGTGTCTTCTTTCTTCTCAGGAGAGACAGCAGTTACTACATTCGCACATTCATCGGTAATTCTCACTTCAGAATCTCCAGTCAATTTTTTCATTTCACTGTCGCTATGCAACTGTTCACCAGCAGTTTGTACATGAGAAGGTGGTAATTCCGACTGAAGAGTTACATTTAGCTGCATAGGTTTCTCTACTGACAGTTCTTTCAAAGAAATAGGATCACCTTCAGCTTGTTCTTGTTCTTCATCTTTCATAGGGATAGGAACGTCTGTTGTGACCTGTGGAGTTTCCTCTTTTGGTTCACTCTGGACTGACCGTCTAGAAGTTGTTAATTCGTCAGTTTTATCAACACTACGGGATGGCATAATTTTTAACGCATTATTCACCTTCATGATATCAGTTGATTTTCTACTTGTCGGTGTGATTGTACGACTTGTTCGTGTTTCTGATCGATTTATGCCTCCCTTCACTGATTGCCTACCAATCGATTTATTTTCCTCCATGTCATGCTTATCTTCAGCGTTCACTATCTCTGATGTCTGTTTCTCTAAACTATTGTGTTGCTGTTGAGAAATATACGAGACGGTGGTGCTAAGCGTTTCAGAAGATGGTTCTTGATTACGCGTGGATTGTTTCATGCTACTAAAGCAATGACTACCAGCATCCCTGATACGTTTGAAAATTCTTCTTGTATATTGTACAAAACTTTGAAACATCGGAACAGTTGTCTTTTCTCTAAATGCCTAACGACTACATTTAATAAATTTTTTAAGTAATTTAGAACTTCTAATAAGAATGAAGTAATTCAAGACACATATATATAATGTGTATCACATTCACTGGATCGTCACACTGAAAATTAACATGTTTTTGTTCAATGGGTACCAATGGATATTTTGTTTAAATAATTCAAAGTCAAGGTGAGTTCATCTGTTAAGGACGATAATATCGTCTTCCATTTTCATATATCCAGAAAGATAACTAATGAATTAAATAAAAATACAAAAAAAGAACGAAAATAAATCCGGTGAATTAAAAAATATTTTGTCAAATGTCTGTTATCATCATCATACGCTAAGTGAATCGATACATTAATGGATTTAAAAATGTAAATCTATTGAAGGTCTGTAGACACGTGATTCGCACAAGAGTTCAAAACTAGCAACAGAAACCGTACAACTATTACAATATAGTGATGAAAACATAAAAACGCAAAGTTCAACTTGCATAGAACTCATAAAATTATGCCTTACAACATACTTTCAATTCATTACTCAAATATATGAATAGATAAAAAGAACACCAATGGATTCATCGCCCATATCAGGATTAATAGCTGAAGCCGCCATGCAAAGATTAGAATTATTAGCTCTACCAGCTATAATTGGAAGAAAGGTTACTTATTCAAACTACCAAAGAAAGGAGACTTAAGTCAATGCAAATACTGGCGCGGAATTATGCTCCTGTCCACTCCAAGCAAAATACTAAGCCGCATCATCCTGGAGAGAATCGAACAAGCCCTGGATGCAAAACTCCGACCGGAACAAGCTGGATTCAGGAGAAACAAGTCATGTATTGATCAAATCGCCACTCTACGGATCATCATTGAGCAAAGATTGGAATGCGAGTCATCCCTCTATCTCAGCTTCATCGACTTTGAAAAGGCCTTCGACAAACAGCGTCGATCGAGAGGTCAATTGGCAACTATTTCGTTACCACGAGGTCATATATAGAATAATTCATAGGAGAGATAGAACTTGAAAAAGGATGTGCAATTATAGGATTAGTAGGCAAATCGAATAAAACAAAAACGTTACGTAATATTGTGTGAAATTTAATAGCATAGAATTTATCGTTGTAAAAAAAATTGATTTAGAATGACAAGTGGAACAAGTGAAATAATACCGGGGACAGTTCAAAGTGAGAATAGTAATAATAACAATTGACTTAATAAGGAAGAGTATACAAATTGAATAGACAAAATGAAAAATGAAAAATTGGTAGAGCTAAAATATGATTGGGGATTATCATATTTTAGCATAGAGGGATTAAGACCATGAAAGTTGGAGGGGTTGAACGAACTTTTTCTGTACACAGAGATCTGGCTTTTCTGTTTCGATAGCCAAAGCTTCAGCAATACAGATGAGTCGGGTACGTAGGGATTTAGGTAAATTGCTCTTTGCCTTGTAGATGACTTTAAAGGCGGAGGCTATAGAGATAGGGTGATCATTTTCGACCAGATGTTCTATGATCGCGCTTCTTATTGCTCCACTTCCACCTTTTCGTAGCCATGCAGGATAATGTTCTTGCACCCTCTTGGACAAAACTCGAGTCGAACGACCGATATACCTAGCTCCACAAGAGCAGGTGAATTGATAAACGCACATAGAGTTGGTCAACATTGGGATCTTGTCCTTCAGGTTATTGAACAATAATGGTCGGCTAGTAAAAGCTATTCTCAGGGAGGCAGCAGGGAATGTTCTTTTCAGGGACTGTGATATCCTTCGTTTCATGATATCGGAAGCTAAGTCCCCTTTGAATTCTAAGCTCATGTAAAGTATTTTCTTGGGAGCGGTTGATAAGTCACGTTTTGTAGGCTTTGAATGTATATTCTTATCTATAAAACGTGGTGGAAATCCATTTTCCATTAGGATTTTCCTCAAAGTGTATAACTCATCTTCCACAGTATCAGTGCTACATATGCGCCGAATACGAGTGGCAAGCGACCGGACCAGGTTTCGTTTTCGACCAATAGGTACCCAGCTATAGAAATTTGTCAGTTGACCATTCCATAACAGCCTACGATAAATCGATCTCTTCAGAGTTCCATCGGTCCTTCTTGATAAGTTCACATCGAGGAAATGAATGCTAGACTCGTTCTCCATTTCGAGTGTGAATTTTATCGCAGGATGGCACTCATTAAATACACTTAATATATTATTCAGGTTACAATCAATATTACAAATAATAAAGGTGTCATCTACATACCTTTTATATATTTGAAAGCTTTGGATCATAGGCTTCAGGGAACCATTTTCTAGACTGGACATAAAAACGTCTGCAAGGAGAGGACCCAAGGGAGAACCCATCGCAATACCATCCTTCTGCCTGTAGATTGTTTCATTGAAAGTAAACTGTACATTCAATGTACATCTCAAAAGTAGTTCTTTAAGATCTGTAGTAGGTATCCCTATGTTCAATTTGTTGTCTTCAATATATTTGCATATAAAACATATGGTCTCTGTCAGTGGAACGTTCGTAAATAAGGATTCTACATCCAAAGACAACATTTGTTTATTCGACGCATTTATATCCTGTATACATTCAACAAATTGGAAGGTGTCCCGAAGGGAATGATTAGATAGTTGCCCCCTGACTGGTTCGAGGATTTCAGCTAACCACCCAGCTACTGGATGATAGGGCGATCCAGACATATCCAAGATAGGGCGAAGTGGAACTCCAGCTTTGTGTATTTTCGGTAGACCATACAGTCTTGGTATTAGAGATCCTGTTGGTCTGATCTTTTCGTATAATTCTTCACGAATGAGATGATTGTTCTTCATTCTCTTTAAAGTATCGGTAAGTTGTTTCTCAATTAATTCCGTCTTGTTTTTCTCGTTCGGTTTCGAGAATTTACTGCTGTCTGAAAGTAGACATGACATTTTATCGATATAATCTTTGCGATCCATAATAACAACACCTGTACCCTTGTCAGGGCGTGTTAATAGTATATCGCTGTTATGCGTCAAAAGTTTAAGTTCTTCTTTGTGCTGTTTAGTAAGAAGACTTTGCATTTTTGGTCTAGCATTAAGGTATTGATTGCAGGAGTCCGTAATGGTAGATTTGAAGCATTGGAAATCCTGGTCTGACGATGGTGTGAGATCATAGGTTTGACTGAGTAAATTCTCAAACTGGACATGAGTATGTAGCTTGTTGATATTTTATTCGATTTGTCTACTAATCCTATAATTGCACATCCTTTTTCAAGTTCTATCTCTCCTATGAATTATTCTATATATGACATTAATCTGCTTTGCCACTTGACATTTAACTACGATTATAATCACAAATATTCTAGTTTTAATTGAACTTTATATGATTATTATTATTATTTTATGCATTGACACCTAAGATTCAATTCCCTCACCGGATATAACTTATTAAAAAACCATATATATACGACTGTACAGCTTGATGATAAATTCGTTGAAAAGAGTCTCTTCGCTGAATCACTTGTTTTGATTTTCTAAATGTTACCATGGGAATTTTCCCTGACTAATATCTTTCAAGTATTGGTTTTGTAGGGATTTTGTTTGATTGCATGGAGGATTTAATCATGAGCTGACATCAGTTAGAGAACCACTGGAGAACCTGGGAGTACTGGAGGTCTGTTTCGTCCTAGTTTGGGACTCTTCAGCAGTACGCACCCACAGGGATTCGAACCCAGGACCTTCTGGTTACAAGGCGAGCTCGTAGACCATTGAGGCACTGGGACCCGATCCAATGGTCCTTGATTTCTAACTTCTGCCCATTCACGACATAGCGCGACCACTTCTCAATGTCTTCTTCGATGAGTTACTGCCTCATCTTCAACCTGCTGTACCCTAGCGGTCACGGCTTCCACTAGAACCCCAGGTAAACTGCCTGAATAGGGCCAGTCACTAGTGAGCACAGATTAATTGTCAAGTATTGGTTTTGTCGGGATTTTGTTTGATTGCATGGAGGATTTAATCATGGGCTGACATCAGTTAGAGAACCACTGGAAAACCTGGGAGTACTGGAGGTCTGTTTCGTCCTAGTTTGGGACTCTTCAGCAGCATGTACCAGTACTAATAGCTTTATCAAAGTATTATTAAACCGGAATTCACAAAATCCACTCAGTATATGTATATGTATAACAGCTTATTATTACAAGTATTATTATTACAAAAATTATTATTTATTGAATTGAATTTTTGATTTTCCCGTCGATTGATTGGACCGAATTGCTCGGTATCAGGTTGACATGTCGGCTTCTTGTGCAGATGCTTCAACGATGTCTGGGCATTTAGTTAGTATTTAATTGGTGGATGGTGACTAGCAGTGGAATCCAGGATGCGTCAATCGACGGGAAAATCAAAAATTCAATTCAATAACTAATATGCCCCGTTGCACAAGAGGTGGCCAGCTCTCGTGGCCCAAGTGGTGTAGTGAATAGCGCTTTGGCGTTTGAAACTATGGGTACTGGGTTCGAGCATCGGTGGGAACATCATCACTCACTGAGAAATGCATGTACATCCAGTGACGAGTCCCAAATAGGACGAAATGCGTATCCTGGATTCCACTGCTAATCACCATCCACCAATTAAAGAATAATTATTATTGATATCATTGTTATTCGTCATAATTTATGCCCTTCATGCAAACATTCCCTCAATACTATCGAATTTAATTTTTCATTTATACTCTCCGGACTTATTATTAGTGATATTATCTGTTTTCTCAATATATGCATGCCTCCACCTGTTTCATTTCACATATTCGTTATTTCATTATGAACAACCTCTCATTGCAGTCTTACTATCTCCTGTTTAACACAGACCACTTCGTACTATCCACTCACCTGACGCCTGACACCTTTTATAACCTTGAACTGACTGACTTGTCAATTTTCCTACCCCACACTCTACAAATCTATTATGAATAATCACTATCACCATTGTCTACCATTTCACCG